TATATGACGACAAGAACTTTTTTGCATGTCATTTCTCATTTCCGATGTCATAATTCAATATGGCTGCAGCGAGAGAGTCGAACTTCGAGTGTAATGCATATTATCGATTCGTAGAGATATATTATTTCTTTAAATTTATTTTTCCATTTTGTGAATTTAATTCGTTATTTCATCATTTAATTGTCGTAAAATATTATTAATATTCATTAATGTTAAATTACGTTTTTATTCCAAGAAGAAACAGAGTAGATGTATGTGGACGTGTGATTATAATATATTCCTATAATATATATGGAAAATATCAGTTTAAAAAGCAAAATCTATAAATTGGAATTTAACATAACACAGACTTGAAGCGTTTATGTTAGTCCTACATTTGATCGCACTATTCAGAAATTCTCGAGGGTTGTTTGCAATTAACTAATTAATATTAAATATCGCAATCATTGAATAACTCCCAATTTATATGATCATTGTATACATATAGATTTCATATATAGACACATATGCGCGTATACACGCACATATACACGTACATTCTATGTCGTGTGTACGTGAACATGCGTCCATCGTTTTTAGTTATAATTTAATGTAGCGTATGTGTAATTTAAATAAAAGAAGTTTACTACATATACTTTTATTGCATCGCAGTTAACTAATAGAAGTAATACATAAAGTGAACTTGGGGAAATGACTTTAAGAGCATGTTTGGTTAAATTAAATTATTTTTTATCTATTTTATTTTTTATCTATTTTATTAATGTCGTTTATTATTTTTATAGAAAGCTTCTATTGTTATATCTTTTTATATTTTTATCATTTGTTATTCTTGTTACGTATGTAGAATACGTATAATCGATTCTGTATTATTTCGCATATTGTTTTTGCAAATTGTTACATATAAATTTTATTGTAAAATTATATCTTTTAGAATTAATGTTACATTAATATTTTACAATTGTTTTTATTATTAATTAGTAGAAACACTTTTTACATCATGATTAGCAAATAACTTGGTTTTACCCGGTCTCATGATTATAGGAGAATCTGTTGTGGCAGGTTGAATATCTTCTAAAATTATGCTCGTAATTTCATGTATGGTGTACGTCTCATTGTTCGAAACCGATGTGCCCTTTCTCATTGTATACGAACTAAAACTATTTTCACTGATTTTCATCTGGCTACTCATAAATTCCTAAAATATAACACGTGCGAATTAAGAATAATTTCTGAAACTATGCTTCTCTTTTCCTGAAAGTGACAGAGTAAATCAAAGAATTTACAAATTTTTGTTTATTTAAAAAACAGTTCTGAGATATTTATACATTAAATTAATATAAATAATAATAATTATATTACTAATAATTATAATTATAATAATTAATAATTATAATTATAACTAATAATTATAATTATTAAAGCAAGCAAATTGAATCTATTGAAAACACAAAACAACAGCATTAATAAATTATTCATATATATATATATACATTGTCACGGGTAACTTACCAAATCTGCTTGTAAATGTTCACAAACGACCGTGTCACCATATTTACGAAAGTAACCGTCTGCATAACAATTGCAATCATTAATATTTGTTGTCTTGTCAATGAAGTACATGTCGGTAGAAGCCGTATGCTGTAATGTCGACGGCAATAGTTTCAATCGGAAATCGCGACGAATCTCTGTTTCCGCATATTCAGTTCTGGGACGGCGATACAAATCGAAGGTGACGTTGCACCTGCCTATAGTGGATTCAGCGATACCATGGAATGTACCGTTTCCGATGTTGTCGAAATTGTCGCCGGGATTCAATTGCTCGGCCACCATCTTCAGGATGTTGAGATCATAGACTCGTGTCAGTTGGCTCGCGATGATAGCCTCGATGCCTTCCTCGTTATAAATCAGCTCCATAACCGTTCCAGTGATATTCTTTCGTCGGTTCGCAACATCGCCTTCCTCGCCAATTGTTCCAAAGTTGAAGCCATCAACGTGCTTGAAGCTACAGTTCAGAGTATCATTTTTCTTCGGGATACAATATAATCGAGAAGTAATACGATAACCGGACTGAGTTTTGCACGATTGAATATTATCGGAACACTCCGGTGTTCCCGTCACATTCATGTGAACGGTGAAGACATATTCGGGTCCATATGGCCATGCACCATCTTCGATGGGAAGTTGCACAGCTGACAAAAAAGATATCAAGATTTTCATAAAATAACTTGTGAATCCATATCCATTTCTCATCGTCGAGCCGATTATTTTTTGTTTATTATTTATCGCGGTTTCATATTTTATTCGTAATTTTTATTATTCACTTATAGGAAGAAACGCATTTATTATCGATACGATATGGCAACTAACTGATAAATTTTACTTACCTAAAAAGAACGGTATAAACGTTGCGATGATCATATCACCGTGTACAAATCGCGATATGTGTTTGACGCTACTCTTAATCTTGAAACCGCTTTTATACCGCGTTTATATCGTTAAGAATCTCCTTATTATGTAATTCATGTTAACTCACAAGATGAGAGCGTCAATTCTAATTATTAGACGACTTCGTAGAAATGTAACGCGTTTACTTTTGACCTCTAATGGATTCACTAAAATTGCATATTTCCTAGACAAAACTTGTGCGTTACAGCGTGCTATCTGTTCAAACTTGAATTTTTGCGCGAACGTATGTCCAAATTTGTTTTACCCCCCATTAAGAAACTTTATCCTCCCTTAAAATATAGTAATCAATATAATATGGTATCAATAATAAAACTGTTTTAATATGATAATTATTTTTAAATATATTATCGATTGATATTACTTACCTGTAAAAATATTGAAATTTCTATCTTTTTTACAGAAATGGAATATTTTTTGAAATTTGAAATTAAAACGAAGTTATTATGAGTTAAATCTGACATTACGTTAGAGGATTAAAACATCAAAAACGAGAAAAAGGGTAGTTTATAAAATGCTATTTATTCACTTTCACTGTATAATTTTATACTTTTTTAATTTGATTAAATATCTATCTGCAAATTCTATAGCTTGCCTACAATGTATACAATATATAGGTGTATATACATCATCGCATACACATATATACATATTAATTTATAAAATTGCTTGGTATGTCATTGTTAGTATTTAAATCAATCATTTCACCGTAAAAAAGGGTCGGAAGTTCACCTTGCGCAGGTTCAATACCGTTTAGATTGATCTGTATTATTTCTTTAAATGACAATCTTCTGTGTTCGGATTCGGACAAAAGACTTATTTTCCCATCAAATTCGGTGAAGGTTTCAAATTTATCTGGGTCGATATGAATTTTACTGATAAATCTCCCCTGAAAAAAAAAGTTTAATGTAAAAATTTTATAACGGAAACGCAGAAATATATATATATATATATATATATATATGTACCTACCATTTTTAAGATTCCCGTTGAAAAATCAACATATCGCGGTGCATTGATACATCTCTTTCGGGATTTTTCAATCGAGAGAGTACCAAGTTCCGCATCGATCAATGGCATCACCACGAGTTGAAAATCTTTGTCTTCTTTCTCGAGCATATCCGTTTCTTCATGCGTGATCCTATATGTGGTCGCGCAATCGCCCATCGATGAATTCTCTCTGTTCATATACTGCGACATTCTAATTGTGATCGGATCAACAACTATGTTAAACTGTGTGGCGATTTTTCGAAGAATGTTGACGACATCCATGCGAGTCGGTGGCTCGATTATCAGGCCCTCCACACCGCGATTGTTAAATTTAATCTCGAACATTTGTTCCGTCGTTACTTCCCGCGTAAAGGTATGATTTTTGAATAATTGTAAATACGTGGAATTATTTAAATGGCAAAATAAGCTATTTGACATTTTGGGACGACATTTTATCGTAGAGATTAGTTGCATATCGTTGATAGGCTCGTGGGGGTCCGATTTTATTACGTAAGTGATGTTCATATCGTACGAATATTCTGGTCCAAACATCCATTCCGAAGTATCATTGACGACCATGTGGGCCGCTATGAAAAGAACGAAAAATTTATTCAAATATCATGTTAAACTACTGTCATTTCTCGTTAAAAAGATGTACCATTTTTGAAATGAGATTTTTCTAAATATTTTAAATATACTATAAAAAGTATCTATTCCTTTCTCAAAATTTAATATATTTACATTTTAAGAATTTTTTACACTCTTCTCAAAAATATTCAAAAATCGATAAAGATGAATCTTAGTCTGTCAAATATTATACATATACATCCAGACAATTTGAAAGTATTAAAATTGGAGGTTTACATGTGCGTGTAAGCTGACGTGTGTAAGCTGTTTAAACACGATTTCACATTCGAATCGAGAGGTGTGCGATGAACAGGTGGACACGTGAATTCAAGCAGTTGTACTTGTTAATGGCTTACCAACCTAGGAAGAACGGGATCAGGATGACGTTCATCTCGCGACAACGTGCCTCGCTACACGCTACACGTACGCTGATACTACTCTTCTTACACTCGCAAGCTCCTTTATATCAGAACGTGGTCATAATTTAACAGCATAATGTTCCATAGCGCTTGCGTCTGTAGTGAACTCTAGGGTGCCATATATCACGACTGCATGTGACGCATGCACATTCGTATGTTGAACGATTGTAAATTGCAATAACATAAAGAGCGTGTTAAACTCAATGTTCTTATTCATAAAAATACTACTATTGTCGTAATTCTTTAAGAATGAATTCTTTAGGAAAAGGAAATTTTTGTCTCTCGAAAGTATTTATTTATGGAGCATATTTTACGTTATTTTTTTAATATATTCCATCCTTTAAATTACATTAACCATTTTTTAAAGATACTAAAGATATATCGGATAAGTCACATTTATCTTATAATGGCAACATTTCTCGGAAATTCATAAAGCAAAAGTCTCTTTACACAGCTGTAAATGAAGTCAAATTAGTTCACTTCTCTGAATGAATTGTACGTAACGAGAACAATCGACGACAATGAGATGGAAATGCTTAGCAAGAAACGCCGAATGATATTTAAACTGAATGATATTAAAAAATTAAATAATTCTAAAATTGCTGCGTGTATTAATCTTGCTTTAAACAAATGTTTATTATAATTATAATCAGCAACTTATAAGCTACAATTATATTTAAAAACAATCTTATAATTTAAATTATATATATTTATATATATTTAGTAATTTGCGATAAAATGTCATTCAAATTATAAAGAAAAATATAATTATTATGAAATATTAATTATTTATATTAATTAATAAGCATATTTATAAGATTTTACTTATAGCAATTTATAGCGATAGTTTTATATATTTGCGAAACGGATTTTCTTCAACGCGACAATTATTTTAGATTATGTATAATTTCTTCATGTACAATTTCTAAATTTGAAAAAGCGAATAAACTGGTCGAGGCTGGATTTTGAATCTCTGGCAGCGGAGATCGGGCAATATCTATTCGCTTCAATTTTAGGCTTATGTTTTGGGTAGGCCGCATAATCCGCGTTTTATTTGCTGTTTTTATCGTACCCTCCGATATTGTATAGGTTACAAATTTACTCTTTGAAATCGTGATATGGCTTTCGGAAGTAGTCTGAAATATGAAACAAAAAACAAATTAATTTAAAAATGTTGCTTGTGTCGATGATTGTTAAAAATTATTATGTGCTTCAAATTATGAAAAATTTTTAGATAGATTATTTAATTACGAGAAATTTTTGAATTTTTAGAGAATACAAATAAAAAGCACATTATTTCACAATCTTAAATAGCAATTTAAAAATACATCAATAATTCTTTTATGTCGGAAAATTATTAACAATATGCTTTTTCTATTTAATAATTTTATAACTTTTTATTATTATCATACCATGTCCATGTAAAGTTGCCTATCATCGTGACTATAGTCTTTATGATTTCCAAAGAAGTACATTGTTCTATGTGGACATCTTTTCGGCTGACGTATTTTTTCTACTTGTAAACCATAGAACTTTTCCATAGATAAAGAATGCGCATGTTCGTCATTTGATAACATGAATCCGATCTCGAAACTGTCGCTTTCTTCAATCAAAGAATCATCGTCTTCAATAGAATCATCCTCCTTGAAATCGGAATCTCTACGAGTGATTTTAACATCAACTTCGCAGTGACCTACTGTTGAATTTTCCATAATTGTAAATCTATCGCGACGTTCTTGCGTTTCGAAACCGATGTTCAGTTGGCTAACTATGACTTTAATCATGTCGAGCCTCCATCTAAGAATTGATTTGTGCACCACTAGATTCTCGATACCCTTCGAATTGAATCTGATCTCGAAGGGTTCGTCATTCACGAACTTGTATCTTGTGGGCACATAATTCTTCGCGTTTGAGCATCTGTTGTCTGTCGGATCGGGACGTTTGATCTGGGAGTTCTGGAAGCGGCAGCTGAGACTATCGTCTCCTTTAGGTCGACACTTGAGCTCGGTGGCAATCATGGTGCAAAAATTGTCGTTCTCTTGAAAGACGTTGGCCAGAGACATGTTGACAAGAACATCGTACGTGCATTCCGGACCGTAAATCGCCCATTCCGATTGCCGGTGAGCGTCATCGACGGTTATATTTGCAACTATAAGGTAATAGAAAAAGAATGATTAATAAAAATGTAACGTTACGATTAGTAGAAGCGAGAAGTTTTCATTAAGTTTCATTTCATTCATTGGCTGAGGAAATTTTAATTAGTAAGCAAAATTGGTATAAACAAAAGTAAATCGCAATGTCGTAAGATACATGACGTACCTAGGAAAAATGGCAGAATCGTCACCAACATAGCTGATATCTTCTCTTTGACTGATGCTTGGCTGTTGCCCGTCTCCTCTTTATACAAAACGTAACTTGATTCATTTCGTTGAAGATAATTTCACTACGTATTATTTCCGTCTAGATTCTGTAGATTGGTAGATCTTTCGTATTGGTTGCGATCAGAGCATTGTCTTTGTACTTAGGACTGATCTAATAATAGCATATGTCACAAGTGCCAGCAAGGTTTAGGTGATAATTGATAAATTTGCCACGCATTTGTTCTATCTTTATCTGCGCTTGTTAATATGTATATGCGATTCGTATATATCTTTACATATAAATTATAAGAGAAGATATATATTTGAAGACATATATTTACAAGTTTCTTTACAAAATATGGCTAAAGTCTTATTTCAATTAATTCATAATTACTAAACTAGAATTAAATAATTATATTATTTATCGCTATTTTGATAGCACACGATAATAGTTACGGTTACGATTACATTATTAAACATGTAACATTGTTAATCGTTTATTAAATAAATATTATCACTCGTGTCAATAATTTGAGAAATGTACAGTTTTTTGATTATCTAAATACAACTTATGCAAGATAGAGAAATAGAGTAAATATGCTGCAGTATCCATAAATTCGAACACATGATATGAAATAGAAGAATCAGAAAAAATTAAAACTATACAAATGAAAAAAGCAGTATTATTTTACACAATGCTGTTTCATTCATTTATATAACCTGATCTAACCTGATCTAAATATCTAAAAATTTAATAATATAGATCGTACACATTTTATCGCTGTAATTTTAACAATTTGCTTGGTTAGTATTCAGATCGATAAATTCGCCGTAGGAAAGAGACGGAAGTTGATTTTGCGCAGGTTCGATGTTGCTTAGGCTCAATTCTATCATTTCTTTATACGAAAGTGTTCCACTTTCAGATTCAGATATAAGACTCAATTTTCCATCGAATATACTAAATATTTCGAATTTGTCGTTGATCTGCATTTTAGTGATAAACCTCCCCTGCACGAAATACAAATACATTATACAACACACAAGATTAATGCTTGAGAACCCATTTTTTCTCTTAGTCTTTCTAATAATATGAAAGATTATACACAAAAAAATAATATATATATATATATATACACGTACCATTTTAAAGATTCCCGTTGAGAAATCGATGTATTGCGGTGGATTGATACATCTTCCCCGAATCTTCTTGATGAAGAGGGTTGTACCAGGTTTTGCGTTGGCCAATGGTAATATTAGAAACCTACACTCGGTATTTCCATCTCTGAACGTATCTGTCTTGGGTTCTTGACGTGTGATCCAGTACAAGGTCGTACAGTTACCCATCGCCGAGTTCTCCCTGGTCACGAAGCCGATTAAGGGTATTGCGCGCGGATTGATATTAAACTGAGTTGCGATCTTTCGGATGATGTTCACGATTATCATACGAAACGGTGGCTCGATCATCAGGCCCTCCACACCGCGCTCGTTAAATTTAATCTCAAACATTTTTTCCGTTATTTCCTTTCGCGTCACGTTATAATTGTTTATATGCGTTAGGGTCGTAAAGTTGTGCAAATGGCAGAATAGACTATCCGGCATTTTGGGGCGACATTTTATCGTAGAGATCAGTTGCACGGTGTCAATATGCTCGTGGAGTTCCGCTTTTATCTCGTAAGTGATGTTCATGTCGTACGAATATTCCGGCCCGTACGCCCATGCGGACGTGTCGTTGACGACCACGTTGGCCGCTAGGGAGATGACGGAAAATTCATTCAAATATCATATTAGAATACTCCTGTCACCTGTCGCTAAAAGATATAATTTTTTTTAATGACACTTTTTTATCTCTAACTAATATACTTTATCTTATCTTCTCCCAAAATTTAATTTGTCTATATTTTAAGAATTGTCTATATTTTGCTTCTGTTTCTCTTGATATGCATAAAAAGAGCATTAAGAAATTGACACAAGTCTTATCTTTAGGTCCTTATATATTCTGATAAAAAATACAGATATGAGGCAAAGATAGTGATTCGCATGAATAGTAGAACTTTTAAAAAAAGCAGCGGATAAATAATATCTAAATGATTCATATTTGGACTTTGCTGAAAGCCCGTTGGCCTTCGGTTTTTATCTTTGTTATATATCTTCCATCGGTTTTAACAATTGGAAGATTATATGTGCATCGCGTCTATTTATACATGATTTCATGTCAGGATAGAGATGTGCAATGTAGGTTGAATAGTAGGCACGTGGATTTAGGCACATACTTTTATATCTGTCAATGGCTTACCGACCTAGGAAGAACGGGATCAAAGTGACGTTCATCTCGCGACAACGCGACTCGTTACACGCTACGCGTACGCTAATACTATTGTTGTTACACTCGCAAGCTCCTTTATATCAGAACGTGCTCATAATTTAGCAGCATAATTTTTAACGGCGCTTGCGTCTGTGGTGAACCCCAGGATGCCGTGTATTACGATCGCGATGTGACGCATTCACATTCGTACGTATACATTCGTACGATCGTAAGTTGTAATAATACATAATAACATAATAATATAAAGAGCGTTTTGACGTTTTAGAATTGATAAAGAACGTTTCAAGTTTGATGTGACGAATTGTAACATTTACAATTAAAAGTCAGGTCAGTTGCATAAGCGAAAGGCAATTTTTTTATGAGATAAGGAAGATCGATATAGGACGACATAGATTTTACTGATTTTATATATAATTTTTATTTTATATAATTTTTATTTTTCTGTATTTCTACAATATTATGCAAGTAATGAAATTCCATTATCGTGTATCATAATATTGCATTCCTCTCTTCCATCGCGCGCTACAATTTTCTTTTTATTATTTAATATTAACACTATTATAATTAAACCTACGTTAATTATATCATTCGAGATGTTATTTCCACGAGCGAGAAAATCTTTTCAATATGTTAATTATGAAAATGTATCGTCGCACATTTGTAATTTTTTGAAATTTTTTAATAAAAAGTAGAATAAATCAAATTAATACGTAATGTATTAGAATATATTTTCTTAAGAATAATTTGAAATAAATAAATACGTACCATATTGAATATTGTAAAAAATCAAAAATAACTGGATTAATACAAATAAACCTTTCAAAACTTTTTGATTGAGAGATTCATCCTGGATCGCATCGATTAACAACAATATCACATAATGATGTTTTTCTTTTTGGACATCTCAAATTCCATCTTATATTTTTTACTTGACTTAATCTCGCAATTGCTCATTATCGACTTTCCCCTGATCGAAATTATAGGCTATATGAATTAAACATTTAATTATGTTAAATTAACTGATGATTTTTGAATAAATTATTTAAACTTTAGAAAATTTGGAAATTTCTCTGAATAAAAATATTCAAAAAGCCACGTAAACCTGTCTCAATTCAGGTCACAGGTTTAATAAGAAACACAATTATGAGACAAATATTGATTTGTTGAATAGAAATACATACGCTTTTAAAATACATAGTAGATAAATATATGTAGATGCTATATATTTGAACTTATGTAATAAATTGTTTGTTATTTTGTTTTATTTTTGTTAACTTTTTACTATAAATTCCTAAATATCAATATCGACGTTTTAGGATTATATGTACGATATTGCTCTCTTCGGAATCAATGTATTATCATTGAGAAGCAGTTATATATATTATAGCACTGCATTCAGAGATCTCATTGGAAGGAATCAGTTAATGATGGATTATCTTAATTAGCAATATTGCTAGAAACGACAGTTATAAACAGCAAGATTAAAAGTAAAAGAGCGTAATAATTTTGAGTTTAAACATTAATTTAACAGGTTAGAAGTGAGAACTTGATTGTCTACCGATTAAAAAGCAATAAAGTATATAAAGAAAATTAATATAAACTTGATATATACTTTTTTACTTTTTACTTTGTTTTATAGTAGTATTTTATTTTATACAAGTAAGAAAACTTTATTTTTCACACATCAAAATACCACACTTGTTACCATTTTCTTCTTCTTAGTAATTAATAACTAACATTATTATGACATAATTAATTTATAATTATTCAAAATTCGAAATTTCATGTTCACGCGCGCACAATAATCTTTGCAATATGAAAAATGCAAACATACAATGTTGCGCAACTTTATAATAACCGCTTGATATTTATGCAATAACATAAATAGAATGAATCAAATTTGTAAGTCACTTGGCGACAAGTGAATGAATGAATTTCGTCCCTCGTTGCAAATGTTTGTCTGTTTGTATACGTCCCACGTAACACCAAAAATGAAACCATCTAATTATCTTCTTCGGATGAGTCATCGATTAACCACCTGCCTATGAAGATACTGGCAGGCTCGGCTTCTTTCACAGTTGGCGGTTCACTTTCCGCGGCTTGAATGGATTCAAGCCTGAGTCGTACGTTTTCGTAAAGTGTTGTTATCACCGCTTCGGTTACTTTGCTCGTCGTTATCACATTCGACGTACCGGATATAAATTCTGTGGATGTTATGATGATGTGTCCATCCGACAAGCTCTACAGGAAAAGAAAGACAGACTCGATTATCACGGCGACAATTAAGCGCGAAATAACATACTAAACGTTTGTGCGTATGACTTTAACCAAATCAAAATTCAATCTAAATTATATTAAATTAAGGTAAAAAATATTAAGGAACTAGTACACGTTGTACATTCGCTATCTGTTAGAGTCAATAATTGCACAGCAATTTCCACTCAAGTTTTTTTTAGCGGAGGAGGAAAATGTGTTTAATTTACAGGAGCAGAAACGTGCTTACAATATCGGACATGATGTCACTTTCTTCCCTGAAGCTTTCAGCGCTGCCAAAGAGATACGGCACCTTGTGCGCGCACATGTGCAAATTTCGAATCTTTCGTATCTGCACCAGCTTGCCATCCTTTAGGCCGAAGACCGGCCTAAGAGTGTAACCGGGTTTTGCATATAGCGAACGTCCTACTAGTTTCTTGTCGATCTTGAAGGTCGTGAAACATTCGCCCTGGGTGAAATTTTCCATCGTGTCGAAGGTAAGGTCGTTCCCGATGCCTTCGAGGGTGGCACCTATACTCAGCTGACCTACAATCATCCGAATCATGTCGAGCTCACGCGGCTGGATATTCTCGTTCACCACCAGACTGTCTAACCCTCGCTTGTTAAACTTGATCTCGAACTGATCCTCGTTGATCTCGTAAGCCGGTTGTCGATTTACCGGCCCGACCGGCGCCACCGGTTCCGACGGGTCCAAGCTATCCACGACAAAGCTATTAGCCGTGGAGTCTTCAAAGTGGCAACTCAACGTGTGACCGTCCTTCGGCTGACAGATAAGCTTCGACACCAGGTTGAGCCGCACGCTGCCGTAGACACCTTCCTCTGGAATTGCCGTGCAGTTCACCTGAACTTGAAACGTATATTCCGGCCCGTGTTCCCATGGCTCGTCCACGGTGAGATGCGCGGCTGGGGAAAAAAAAAAGAGAGAGATCATTATGTCATTGCGTTCGCTGGCCGCGAGTTACGACAGCTGATGAAGCGACGTATTATTCGTTCGCGAGAACGTCTGAATGGGCTGCTGATTAGGCTTGAATGAACCTAGATTAGTGCAGTGGTGACGTCAAGCGGGCCAATGCCTATGGTTAAATATCTCGATTATCTCGGGTTAAGGGTCCTACGCGTTGTTTCCAATGGACGGTTCGGTTACGCGATCTGCCATTCGATTCACGACACACACCGATTTCATTGTTCTATAACGGTCGATGGTACTACCTATAGTGGAATGCCTTTCGATAAAATAAAAATCAATCACAAAGTACCGGAAGCAACGAGTACAATTCGAGTCGGTTCCCAAGTCGGTTCACATTACGCGGATATCACTGTAATTTCAAATCCTCACCTAAAAAGAATGGTATCACTACCACGTTCATGGTGACACCGTGCAACGTTGATCTACTTTAATGGAGTTACTGATGTTCGAGCTGCTCTTATACGAGCGGCTAAACTGCACTACTGACCTCTTCTTACGATTAGCGAGCTCCAATTTATCCAAAGCCATTCTCCGTTTGCCACGGGAAAATAAAGCGTTTGTAAGATTAATAATATCTTTGAAGATCAACAAGATACAAGAACCATAACATGCACGCCGATTAAAAGTAGCTTCGCATCCGTTCGATTATCCATTGACGTAATTGAATAAATTGTATTTTCACGCGTGTATTTTAACATAAAAAAAATATCGGTTTTGCTATTATACAAAATTATTATAAATTATTATAAAATGTGGACGAAAAAGACATTTATGTATATATGCTGCTTTATCACATTAAATTGTTACATGTCGTCGGCAATATAAATAATATTAAAAAATATGCTATGTCAAATAGCATCGTTCTGATCGTCAAGTTGTTTAAATCAATTTTCCCTACTTTTCTACTCTTTTTATATCTCCCTCTACATGACGAATTTAAAATTACTCTTCCCATTGCTTCGATGAGAGAATGTTTATATATAAAATAAATAAATGTAATACGATACAAACGAGAATGCACGAGAAGAAAAGGTGCGTACTAAGATTTTCCCGCGTTAGATTTTAATCTGTCCTTCGCGGATGATCGCTGACACTGACAATAAGCGGTGATGAGTCTTAATCGAGTAATCGAGTAGACCTAACTGACCTAGGAGAAACGATACTACAACGAAAGCCATCGCTAATACTGATAGTCGCGTCTGTGGTTTCTTCTCTGAAATTATCGTACCGCATTGGATAGACATTGTAATAGAGGTGTTAAAATATTTGCACATTTATAAATCAAACTGACTTGATTGACAAGAAACAACAAAATGATTTGATTGAATGAAACAACATCTCGTTTGCAGCTAATTGCTTCCGTTGTTTTCGTTACGTACTTATCGATCAAGAGTTTAACGAATCGACGCGTCAAGAGTACTATCTATCATCGTGCTTTAATGATACACGTATTATTTAAAGTGAGCTTACAAGTAACTACGGTAAGAAAATAAGGAACAAATAAGCTCTTGTTGGAGTAAAGTACGTGTGCCTCGTAACATACATAACATGGTAGAAAGCTCGGCGCAGTCCGTGTCATAATTGAGGCGTAAAATATCTGAACTGCCGATATAGCGGAGTGCGTTTATTGACCCAAGGTCATTGTAATGATTCCATAAGCGACAAAGTGCGCTCGACATGCACGGACAATTTAGCAAAAGCAAATGTTGATATAGCAATCCTGTGCGCTAACATAGTTTTGGAAGCGACACGTCTTTTTCTTCGCAAGTTGAATCAGAAGTTGAATCAGAAGTTGAATCAGAAGTATCCGATGAATCATTTGCGAAAGTGACGACAAATAAAAATTAAATCAAACCAACTGGTGCATTCGACTGGTGCAACTTTGAGAAAGACCTTGTATTATCGCAATATTTTAAGAAAATATAATTTGTGTAATATTTTATTTTATTTTTAAAACTCGGATATAGAAATGGAATTTTTCTTGCGGATCAAGTGATTGTAATCACGTAATTGTAATCACGTAATTTTATTATTATAAACAATAGATAAAACAATCTCATTTGTGATATTAAAATAAGTATGACGACAATAGGATGTGACATATAGTTATAGGATATGTAATAAGTTAGTTTTTCTTTAACTTAAAAAGCACCTAAATCTATTTTCTCATTTTAATACTCAATTATTTAATACATTTTTATATATTTTTATATATAATTATGTATAGAAATACAAACCAAATATATTAAATGCAATTTTATTATATATATATATATAAAACTAATGTATTCTTATATGCATATATGTATATGATTTTTAGAGGGTATAGAAATTGCTTTTAAAAATTGTAATTTTTTTGTATCAATAATTCATCAAAATCAGATTTTAAATGGAACTGATACAGCCATCTAGTAGTATAATTCTGAAACCATAAGTACATATATTCATCTCGATGCATAAAATGATACAAAGCTTTTTCCAAGTGAGTACGTCTCTGCATATTTATATTCCATATATTATCCTGAAAAAATCCTGAAAAATTGTAAGACACAATTTATAGAATAACAAGTTTAAAGATTTTTATGCAAAAATTTAAATTTGCGAAAATCGATAAAGTAACAGGAGAATATGATCGGCAAAGAAGTTATATTGTATACAGTTCTGAGAATTTTTCAAGATTTCTAAGACTAATGATTTCAAAAATTCGAAATTTCAAATTGTAAAAATTAACAAAATATCAAAAGAATCAACAAGGATGCTATTTAAAATTCTAAGAATTTTCCAAGATTTTCAAGAATAGTAATTCTGAAAATTTAAGAATCAAAATCAAGAGTTTTGAAAATTAATAAAATATCAGAAGATATCATTATAGAATATTACTATTACATTATAGAATATTTTTAGATATGTACTTACATCTCGTAAGTACATATTTATAAATGATAATATTCTGTTTTCGTAAACATATATGTTTATTTATGAAATATTTATATAGTAATGAGTTATAAATTTAACTGCATTATGAGCTAAACATAATTTCTCGCATTAATGTATAAATTCAATGTATAAATTCATTAACAATTAAGATAAATTGTAATTTGCTGTAAAAATCAAATGATGGATTATTTTTTAAAAATGACTTGAACATAAGAAATTTAATTTTATATTCTTTTAAAATTGTGAAAGTATTATTTAACATTTATATTTTCTGTAAAAATTTAGACGTAAATATTTAAGTCGAAGAAACTTGATTGAAGACTAGGATTGATAAATGACTTCAGAATAATGGCTCTTATGTAACGCGCGATTAGTTTCGTCGTACTATCTTGGCACCAGGAAATCGAACAGTTGCATTTATAACTTATCTTTTTATCTTATGTATTTATTGATTTGAGCAAGTTTATTCAAGTTTATTCAAGTTCTTTTATCATAATTATAATTATAATTCCTTATGATTAGGAAATGGTTGGGTCGAGAATATCAAGATATAGTTAAAATACAATTATATGCGAGAGAGAGAGAGAACTCTTTTTAACGGACAGTTATTATTAAAAATCTTTTATGACTCGATCTTTTTTAATCAACATCTTTTTTACAGTACTTTTCTACAATAATATAAATGTTCCTGTACATTTATGTCATAAATCCAATCCCAAAGTAATAATGGATGGATACGTTGGGAGATTAGCATGATATTTCATGATATTAAAAACATTACGCTTAAACTGGTTTCCAACACACTTCCTTATCGATGAATCTGCATCATAGTTTTTATTCAGTAAGAGAAAAAAAATGCGTATTCTAAGTAGCTAATACATTTGTGTAAAATAAAATATTCTATATTCTCTAATTTTCAAATTTTTTATATTAAAATGACAAATGACAAATACATTGTTTTAATATTAATTTTATTATTGACTTAATTACAAATTAATATCGCTTAAAAAAATTTATAATTGTGTATTACACACTCTCTGACAATTATTTTATACATATATTATATTATATATATGTATGATGCAATAATTATAATTATAAATTAAACAAATAATATAAATAGAAATGATCGTGATAGATCTGTATATATTCATTAATTTTTATTCTACAAATGCGGGAATTTATCGTTATTTACTTTACTGATTATCAATATACGAAATGCGGGAATTTATCGTTATTTACTTATACTGCATATCAAAGATCGTTTTTCACTTGCATAAACGGGCAATTCTACATCTGACGCGCAGTTATTCCAATGACGTAATTCCGAACTTTACGCGGCGAATGCATATATTATAAATGATCGTGGCAAGTTTTTAGGCCTTAGCAGATTATCTTATTTCCACGCCGATATAATATAAGAGGTGTATTAATGATGAAAATATGAAATAATTGAATAATTTTCCTCCCACAGAACGTCTAACTGAAGTATCGAAATGAAAATAATGAAGTTATTTGCATTTCTTACAATGGGAATTGTATTCTCACAATTTATATCCCTTGCAAAAGTTTATATCAATTGTCTCATCATGATCTGATAATTTTGCTATTCCGATAAAAATGTTTCATGAAAATCGCGAGATTTCGCTTTATCATTTTTAACGGGAATTATAATTTCTCTCCACGGCAATCCGTGGTAAAATTTATTGTGGCTGATGGTTCACAAAGCTGGTTGGGAAAAACCCAGCTCAACGTCGTTTCCATAAACCCGCAGTAACAATGTCCTTTAATCTGCACAATCTGATTCCGTCACGGCCAGGCAAGAAGAACGGCAGTAAATATTTTGCTCCAGCTGTATTTCTGTTTCGCATGATCACGATTTACACGAGAACAGAGAATCGTAAAATAGATTACATAAATTAGATGCACTCTCGATTAGATGCATAGGCACGAAAAGGCAATATATTTCACAAAGAAGACACTGTGTACCTCATCTAATCACTTCGAAGAAACTCTGGTTGACATTTAGAATGACGCAAAATGTGAATATATACTTCCTTCGAATGTAATTAGCGTAAGTATCAATTTTTCATTGTAGTGAAATTTGACAAAAATATTTTTTTATTAAGTAACATACATACATTTAACGTGAGTTAAACGTGAGTTATTATTATATTTTTCTATAAATTAAAAATCTTGTTTAGTTAACCGTAGTTTAATATGTTACTGAAATTAAAATCTATGTAAGTATTTAGCCTAAGATGTAAGATACTTATCAAAACATACATCCTGTGCATAATGCCAGCTTAAAGATCGCTGATCTGGTATTCCCGTTGTATATACCAGTGGCAAAACCGGAATTCCGACTGAACCAATTATTTGACATGAACGATGAGCCTTTCACTCGAAACAAGAGTGCGCATTTCACAGTCACAAAATAAAAGAAATAAAATATCTTTCAGATCCGATAAAGAAAAATAGCGATTTGATCGTGAAAACTGCGTGAAGATAAAAATTTAAAGATAAGAATATACAACGGAAAAGGAATTCTAAGAAAATCTTGAGAGGAAAATATATTAGGTTTCCTTTATTTCACCGTCGTTAATTGTTTGTGCTGTAATTACTGCAACTCTCGCGAATTATCAATAGAAACTATGAACGAAGTTAGCTATAATTAAAATATTTTTTACGTAGATAAATATTGAGTATAAACTTGAAAATAATATAATATTTATACAAACATAATTTATATATTAATAATATTTAACATATGATATATATGTGTGTATATGATAAAAAATTTAGGAAATGTATAATTTCTACGATTATTGCGGTTTTACTTCCATTTCCTTAATAGTGATCGAGAATTTTTAGCTAAAAATGGAAATTTATTGGTCGTGCCATTAATAAATAATAAGATAATTTTTATCTTCCACACATCTTTTTTATTTCGCTTGTGATAATGATTACGTTGCCCTGAACTGCCGAGCGTACAATTATTTCTGTAATTTGTTTTTGCTTTCATATATTGCTTATCTTTCAAATGTAACGAGAAATGACGGCATGCTTAAAGAATATTGTAATATTGCGCTAATATTGCAAAAATCAATGATTCCCAAAGATTTTACGGTAACCGAGGTTCACAAGGTTACGGTATCGATTGAGATATTACTTTTTAATTGATAATTCTCGTCAATATATCGAAATCGTGAATTTTGCTTACCATCGCTATTTTCAGTTTGATTTAAATTTGTACGAATAAACAACTCTTATATCTCTTTCTTCATAAATCAATATCCGTGAATTCAAGGTAATAAAATTTATCAACTTAATTAATTAATGTCCCAATTTTGCAACATTTTATTAAAACTACAATAAAAAACTACGATAAATATGTATAAATATATTGACAAAGCTAAAAAATCATGAAATTCATGAATGTTACTGATCTTGTAATTTCATGGTTCACAGATAGGATATTCGAATTATATATCATTGAGATTATTACAGTCATAATCTTTTAAATATGTATGAATAATGGCTTCCGTTATTTGTACAGCAGATTTATAAATACATGTAGCTTTCCTTAACGAAAAAATAATAAATGGAAAATTTTGATGTGGAATTTCTTGTTTGATATCCTTTCATAATCAACCATTGAAACAAGTTCTGCATCTTACAACGGTATAATTACGAAATAGAATGACTAAGAAATTTATCATAACTTGACCACATCCCGTATCTTTTAATATCAATCTTATAAACATTTTCGTTGATTTCCTCTGATTTAAAGCTACTGAAATATGTGACTATAAATACAATGCCAAGATAAAATTATCGTCAAACTTTTCAATGCTAAACATGTATACTTTTCACTTCTTATTTTTATATTTTTATTGTTTGTTAGTTTTAATAATAAAATAACTTTGCTGTATAATATTTTTTTATTAGTAAGTCGAATTGATCATCGGTATAAAATTAAATTGAAATTTTGATATTATTACTTTTAAAACAAAAATGTGTCTAAAATAATTTAAAAATTTAAGCATTAATCAATAGTATAAATATTCCACGTATTCTCTTTTTAGTTTTAAGATAATATTCAATAAATAATACCACTAAGTCTTATACGAAACTAAATTTAGCAGATTCACTAATTGTGGAATTTACGCGTGTGAAGGAATCGAGATCGAAGGGTGATCGACTGACGACATAACTTTATCGTCGTGATAAATTGCGAATTCATTTTCACCGTGAAACTCGGTTCATCGCAGATGCACTTTCGGGGAATGCTTTCTTATCCGAAGGCAATTTGTATATATCGCCTTGGGAAGACTTTTGTCTGCTGCAAGATATCGCAAATCCGATAACGAGGGGAAGTTACAGTCAAGTTTCCCACAGTATGACGTATGACTCGTCGGCTTCGTAGTGGGGATCGGGGCAAAGCCAAGCGATTTATATAGAAGAAGGAATGCTTACCACACCAGCACTTGAGTTTCGGACGGTGAATCGCACGATCGTTAAGTCTCCCGATCTCATTGGATACCATTAGTGATATCTTTTGTTTATCAAATTCACTAAACGCCTCAAGATATTCGACAGTCATGGTAAATAAACTTCTAATATTTTACAATAAGTATTTCTATTAAAAAAACATTACTATTGCATATTTGAAACTATTGTTAATACCAATTTGAAAGAGAGAGATTATTGACAATTTATATTTAATTTAATTCGTAACGTTTATCGATTATTTCATATAAATCCCAATTTTCAAAGATAAATATTACTTTGAGATAATCTTTTCAAATAATTTAAATTTTTTTAACTGGTAAAGATAAGAAATTCTCTTAATTCTTTGACAATATTTCATTCTTTATTCTCCTAAATTGTGATTATTCTTCATTATAGTTGAAATACACTGTACTCTTCACCACCGTATTCTGCATGGTGCAATCACAACGGCCATGGCACGCTGGTAGTGCCAATCGTCTGCCTCAGGTTCTGCCTCAATATATCGATGCACGAATAGCAGCGGAGCAAGCGGCTCAAGCAGCGAGTCAAGGAGCTCAAGGAATCCCAGTGGACCAAGGAGCTCAAGGAATCCCAGTGAACCAAGGGACTCAAGGAATTCCAGTAGGTCAAGGGGCTCAAGGAATCCCAGTGAACCAAGGGCCTGAAGAAAATCCAATAGGCTCAAGAATTGATGATGTTCCAGTAAATCAAGGAACTCAAGGATTTCCGACATATCAAGGATCTCAAGGGATCCCAACGTATCAAGGAGCTCAAGGATTTCCGACCTATCAAGGATCTCAAGGGGCCCCAACGTATCAAGAAACTCAAGGAAATCCAACCTATCAAGGAACTCAAGGAATTCAAAAGGGTCAAGGAAGTAGTACGACAGTTGGTACGACTGATGGTACGCTGCTCGGAAATCGAATTGACAGCGGGGACGGCGGGTTTGCAGCTACAGTTGCACCAACTTTGAGCACGACTATAAATCTGGCCGATTTACCAGTCGATGCTCATGGCGATATCGACCTGGTGAACAGAATCAAGACCTGGCCGAGAGATAAGCAACCCTTCTGGTATATCAACTGGCAGGCGATCCAAGCTCATCGTGGCGACGTGAACAACAGTGCTCAGCCAGCTCAGACGCAACCCAATGCGAGACCGTTCTTTGCGGGTTAAGACATGGAACGAATTCTAAATCAGACACATACGACAAGACTGTAAATTTAAGTATATGCTTTCATCGGTAGAATAAGGACACGATGGCCGCTGACGACAGTGGTTATTCCTAGTCAAAGCTGTCTCTTTGGAAAAATATTCTATTTCGCGTTTTAAGGAGTTCATCAATCAAGATTATCATATCAATTCGTTTCGTTAAGCATAGAAGATCCGAATGCGATCGAAACATATATGTCATGTGATAGCGTGAATTCGCATGACTTGCCTTTTTAATAGAATTAGTGACCGAATTTTTATACGAAAAGACAGAAAATGACGATATTATATATATCACAAGTTACAGAATAAATTTTAATATTTTCTAAAAATAAGCATGAGCATTAATTTTTTCTAAAAATAAGCACTCTTTATTTCAAAGCGTTGAAAGAACTATCGAAATAACTATCGATTCAGTAATGTATCCCTACACGCTGTGTTCTTTTTACAATCAAAATTTTCGTTATTTTTTCATATATAAATAAACGTGCGATAAAAATCACTAATGGCTCGTTGCAGCGGAGAAACTTATAATTAGAATTATCTTCTTTAATATGATTTAAAGTTAACATCAAAATCATTTAACGATATTATCGTTTGTTTCGTAAGTATAGTGGGAGGAAGGGCAGGATATCGCGTGATTTGCATTCAATACAAATTTATCAATGAAGTCATGTATGTGAATGACACCGGAGCGACGTGCGAGATGCGAGGTGCGAGGTGCGAGGTGCGAGGTGGGTGCGAGGTGCGAGGTGCGAGGTGCGAGATGCGAGGTGCGAGGATGCGGGGCGCGAGATGCAACGCGATCCACCTGCCGTACAAGACGGTCGACACGCCAATGAACCGCGCGCAACGTCGTACGCGACTCGACTCGTCGCGATTGGCTGGCCATTCTGCGCACGTTGATCGTGCTCACGACGACTCGTGACGTCGAACATCGTCGACCAATACCGTCTCGCAGGTCCGCAGTGCTCGCCGTGCGCGCGTGCGATATGTAAGAGAGTGTGTGCGTGCGTACGTGTGTATTCGGTGAGCGAGGAGCCACGAGCCACGCGGAAACGTGAGGACGAAACGGTAGCAGCATCTCGATCGCGCGACGACGTATCGCGAAACGGCCAACGACGTCAGGCGCGATATGTTAGTCGAGATTTACGTCTAAAGAACGTCTCGTCGTCGCGCGCGTGTTACGCGTACTTACGAGTGGAATTAACGAGCAGAGAGAGGGGGGAAACTGTGGATACGAACAAGAGGTAGTGGAGGAGAAAGAGGAGGAGAAGGAGGAGGAGGCAAATGCGTCTGGCCGCGGCGCGACTCACACACGCGACGAGAGCGACGGCGATCGCGGGGGTGAGGGAGAGTAGATATAGCGTGGAGTATACTACCGCGCCGCACCTGACAGTCCACGCGGCCCGACCCCCGAAAAACAATTTCGCCACGCTATATACACGCGAGGACCGCGCCGTGTTTCATTCGGAACGCGAGCGCCATTGGCAATGTCGGGAAGTGACAGCCCAACATTCTTTCACGGCCAGCCCTGGTCCAGCTGGATCGAAAGAATCGGACGGGACAAGCCGCTGAGTAAGTGCGCTCAATCTGTCCACCGCGACGCCGCGTCCGCACGCCCGCAGCCGCGACGGCGACGGGCGTCGGAGGCGCGCATACCTAACCTCACTTCGACGCTCCTTTGTCCGGCTGACGGTAGTGCGACACGCGCGCGCGCGCGCGCGCGACGACGCGCGCGTGTGCGTGCCCGTGTCCGCCGTCGTATCCGTGTTTTGCGCCCGCCCCGCATCACCGGGGGGCAATGTCGAAGGGGATGTTGTGTATGATCTATCAATGGCACGGGAGAACGACGACACGCCGTCGTGATTCCCCGTTGCCAACATGAAATTTCGCGGATGATTTTCAGGACTGACAATTATGTAATTCGTGCGAGCGTACGCTGTCGATCGGCCGAGAATAAAATTATCGGTTAAAGAGATGTCTTCGACATGCGAGACTTTATTACTAAAAGAAAGACTGAAAGCGAAAATCATGCGGCGTTTCCTTTTCGTATAGATTTGATCTTTTCATAAATTTTGTACAACGGCCGCTATTATGCATGTATGCTAGATGTAAATAAAAAAATAAACTGACTTACCCATAAAGTTGTGTTCTTTTATTTCACATTTATATTAAAAAGCTTGACTACTCGCTCATAAAGTTTGAAATAATTTTATCAAGATTTAGAGAATGAAGTATGCTTACAATCTTTTGATTA